CGGGGCTGTCCCGGGCGGTTCGTCGACGAAGCCCGCGCGTGGGCCCCGCTTTTGTCGTGGCCCATGGTGATGAATTCGACTTCGCCCGTCGCTGTTCTCAGAGGCTCGTGCTTAACCTCATCCGCCCTGGCAAGGTCCTTCTGCGTCCACGTGGGTGCCCCGCGTTCTACTTGGCCCGTCTCGAGGAGGGGCGTCAAAAACGGCGAGCGGGCCCGACAGCAGGAGTTGGCGGGGGTCGAGCTCACCATTTTCTCGGCGGGGGTCGCCCGTGAATGTCAGAGATGTAGAGTGTCTTGGCCGATTGAAGATCCGATTGCCTCATTGTTGCGAGCCCACCACCCCCTCCATGAGCTCTGTGGCCCCCCCGGGGTCATCAGGGTGAACCTCGACCAGTGCCAGTACTCGGTGCCGTACAAGATGCCTGCCATGCTGCTACTAACTCTTCTATCTTGGAGTACTTGGGGGCCCGCTGTCTCGGGGCCACGCCCGCTCATCGGCACGTCCACACGACTGGCCCCTGTCGGCTGGGAGGCTTCTCTCAGGGAAAACGTCGCCGCCAGCGGGCGTCGACGATGGCGCCGCTGCGCAGCGGCTGCGCGAGGCGCCAGCACAGGCAAAGAAGCCAGCAATACTTTCTCCACGACGCGGGCTGCCAAAGCGATCGAGAGGCAATGCGCCGACTTTGCTGGGGCCATCCGACGCGCCACTATCCAAACGTTCAGAGGCCAGCAACATATGTACGCGTACGCGGTTAGCTTCCCCTGGAGGGCGTTTGAACGAGGACGTTCGTGCATTCAAGACCGCGGAGGGCGTACATGTACATATGTCGTTGCTCGCTCAAACGTAGCCGGCGCGATCGTATTGCTCCAGTTGGGGAGCTCGAGCTTCGCGCTGGAGGCGCTGCCCGTCCTGGGTCTCTCCGTCGTGGCACTGCTGGCCCCGAGACGTTGTCGCACTGCCGCGCAGAGGTGGCGAATTTCACATCGTGGGCCCGACGGCGCAGCATGCCTTCGGCGCCGCCGGGGGCCGTTTTGCCAGGGCAGCGGAGCGCTGCCGCGGGGCGCCCGCCTCGTCGGGTTACAGTCCTGCCACTGGGCACCTCGTCGCGCCAGGCCCAGAGCAGATAGCTGCGAGCACGCGCGGTCGGATGGGGGCCCGCCATCGAGGCTCTGCAGGGTTGGCCGTTGGCCGAAGCTGGTGCGAGAGCTCGTCGTCGAGGCCTCTTTCCTGAAGAGGTGGCCTTCCTTGCCCTCCTGTGGCTGGCCGATCGCGACGGGCTCGGAGCGGCAACTGCAGGGCTGCTGCCGTTCGGCCTCTACGCTCGACCCTCGGGCATCCTCGAACTGCATCGCGATGATATCGTCTCGCCCTCGGCCAGAGCATCTGCGGTCGATCGGTGGTGGGCCGTCGTTTCTGGGCCTTCCGACCAGGGCGGCAACGCGCGAAGACAGGCAACCAGGATGAACATGTCATGTGCGGATGGCGTGGGACAGAATGGGCTGCCAATCGGCCCTCCATGGTCCAGCGCACTACTCCAGCGGATGCTCTTCTTTCTCCGCACCCCACCCTCCCTCAGCACGAGAAAGAGATCCAGCGCTCAGTGCAGGCGTTGGGGCTCCAGACATTGATTCTCACGCCTCGTGCGCTGCGACGCCCAGGCCGCGCGCTCGACCTCATCCGTCGTCGAGGGCGATGGGAGGCGGTCAAGAGCGTGCAGAGGCATGAGAAGCACGCGCGTGTCCTCTCACAACCAAAGAAGGTCCCGACATCGCTGTCACCCAAGCTGCCTGGAGCTCACGGCCTTCTTCGCGCTGCGCTGCAGTGCAGGTTGCCGCGAGGGTTTCAGGCTTGAGAACTGGAATATTTTCTCGGTGCCCACCGTCCGTCCCCGCGCTGCCAAATTACTCGCACGTCTGGCGAGCTTCTGGGAGCAGGCCGGCTTTATGTGGGGATATACTTTGGCGTGCCCTGTGGACCTTGACGTCGTCGTTGATGCGGCGATCTCTCTCTCGGCGCTGGCTCCCAGTGCACATGTTGTCTGGACTGCCGATGCCAGGTCGTGCGAGGGCCTGTTTTACGGAACAGAGAGATTGTGCTTGGCTTTCGCCATCTCCGACGGCACCCGGGACCCATTGGCAGATCATATCATGTGAGGGGTTCGTCGGGTGCTCACTCTCGCTCCCGAAGGTCAATGGGGCCTTGAAGGAGAGCCTGTTACCGCAGCCAGCTCTGGGTAGTGCACCCTAGATGGGAATAAAAGTAATGCATAATCCGTTCGCTCGTTGTCGGACTAAGCCCCGATTTCCAAACTCCCACACTCACTATTGCTACAAACCCTTCCTCCGACACACTTACTCTCAATCGTCATCCTTTGTTTTTGTCACACCTGTTCCTTCTTGCCTCTTTATCATATGTCTATTCGTCGTCATTTTCCTGTGCAAATTGGAAGTATGGTACATACTGGAATGTGTGCTACCTTCTCCGTTCATCCTTGTGTTCGTCCTTCTTGGGCCTCCTCCTCCTCTTCCCTCATCTGTTATCCTCCTCACAACTTACTCTCTTTGCCCTCCGCCAGGTCTTCTCCGTATTCGTTTCCTTGTCCTCCTCGCCGTCATCATTATCTGGTAGCCTTGCGGCCCATCCCGCCACCGTGCTTTGGTTGTGGGTCTGAGGCCTCATGGATGGTCGTTGGGATCTCGTCGAGGAGGCCTCTCGGGGGCCTGCCAGAGGCAGTGTTGACGCCTCTGGGGGGTTGTTGTGGGGCCTCCTGGGGCCTCTTTTGAATCTCTTGGGGCCTCGCTGGGGCCTCTTGGGGCTTCATGGTCCGCGCCCTCTTGGGGCGGACGGCTCTGGTTTTCGGCTCGTGTTTCCCATGTTTTGGGCCCCTTTGGGGGCCGTCTTTGGGCCCCGCTTGGGCCGTCTTGGGCGCCTGTTGGGCCGTCTTGGGGCCTTCTTGGGCCGTCTTGAGGTCCTTGTGGGGGGGTCTCTGGGGCCGCCTCGGTGCGGTTTTGGGGGCCTTATGGACCGCCTTGGAGCGTCGGAAGCTCGAAAAGCCGAGACACCTATAACATTGAGGAAACAGTGGGCAAATCACAATTTCGGCCTCTCAGGGCCCTCTCGGGAAGGCTCTTAGGGCTTTCTTTGAGCGGGTCCCAGGCTTCTTGGGCCGTCTTGAGGCCATCTTGGGCGTCTTGTGTCGATCATGCGGCGACTCGGGGCCCTCTTGGACCGTCTGGGCGGCCTCTTGGGACCCTCTTGCCCCGTCTTCGGGCCCTCGTGGGCCGACAGATCACGCGGCAGGACGCGACAACCCCAGAAGATTTGGCAATTTCGGGTCCGGGCTCTTTAACAAATCTTCAGGATTGAGCACTGGGGCTTCAGGGGTTAGGCCAATGACCTGAGGACGCTCCACCTCGTGCCTCAGGGCACGGTGGCGGATCCTCCTCCCCTCCTCCTCCTCCTCCTCCTCCTCCTCCTCCTCCTCCTCCTCCTCCTCCTCCTCCTCCTCCTCCTCCTCCTCCTCTTGAACCATAATTATTTCCTCTTGAACCATAACTACTCAAGTAGCGGCAGGAGGATTGGCAACAGTGGCAGCGGCCGCGATTGAGGTCATTGAGCCCACGATACCTTCCTGGAGGGTGGCGGTTCGCGGCCTCCGCGCCGTGCCGTGGTGCCGCGCCGTCACGCAGTGCCGTTGGTGCCGTGCCGTCACGCAGTGCCGTCGGTTCCGTGCCGTTGTGCCGTGCCGTTGCGTGCAGGTTGGTTGTGCGCCGGCCTGCGGTCCGCTTGGTGGGGGCGGGGCACAATACCAGCCAGGCACCCTGTCCAGGGTGGTGGCCGAGCTCCGCTTGGCAGCCGACGGGGTCGGTCACCCGCCCGCCCGCCCTGGGGTGGGGATGTTGGGGTTGTGAGCTGGCTGGGCGGTGTCTTCGGGAAGCCCTCGCCCCCGCAGGGCCCGCCCAGCAGCGCCGTGCACGCATGTGCCATCAGAGGGCGCGCAGCCACGCCCCAGAGCCACGGGGGGCCGATCCTCCTCCTCCTCCTCCTCCTCCTCCTCCTCCTCCTCCTCCTCCTCCTCCTCCTCCTCCTCCTCCTCCTCCTCCTCCTCCTAGTGTCCCTCCGCCTCATCCTCCCCCTCGTCCTCTTACCGCCCACCCGACTCTTACACGCATTCGCGCGCAGCCTTACTTACTGTTCGCATCTGCTCTCGTACCCGAACTAGCTGCTGCATGGGTCCAAAGCGGGACGCTCCCTCCTGAAAGTGGAACAATTATGCAACCAAAGTTCCCCACAAGTTGGGTCGCGCTTTGGGGGAGGGCTGGTTACTAGAGGCGGGAGCAAAAAGAGGTTCCTGTGCACCTGCTCTGTATTGCTCCAGCTCTGTCCCCCCGTCCCTGTTGTTATTTTCTTTCTGTGGCCAGTCAGGCGACAGTTTGATTCCTTCAGGTCGCCCTGCTGGAATGCATTGCACACCCCTGCCGCTGCATTGCTCAGAGTCTTTGGCAGAGAGGGCGTTGAGCTCAAAACATATCTCTCTCTCTCTCTCTCTCCTCCTCGGCGTTCCCCTCCCTGGATGGGGCACTGGTGGGACTGGTGGAGAGGGAAGGGCGCGGCCCTTGAAAGATAACATGGTGTTCCGATGGCTGGCGCAGTCTGGTGCGGCCTCTCTGTAGGGGCAAACGGTGCTGGTGGACTGTTAGGGGGAGGGCACGATCCCTCACGAATCGCAGGGTTCCCGCACAGCTGGCGCCGTCTGGCGCGGCTTCCGTGGAGGGGCGCGCGTTGCTGGCGGGATTGGCGGAGTGGGAATGGCGCGATCTCTGTGAAAGAGCCCGGTGCCCGCCCAGCAGGCGTGTTCTGGCGCGGCCTCTTCTACAGTGGGGCAGACCGCAGTGGTGGGCTGGTGGACTGGGAGAAGCGCGCTCCTCAAGTAGCCCGGTGCTTGGTCGTAACCTGCCGAAGCCGACAGGGGCGGCGCTCTGGTGGAGGTGGCTTGCGAGGACTCTGGGCAACCTGAGGGGTGCCTACGATCGTTTGCCCTCGAAGACGGTCAACGCTGGCCCTATCACCCAGAGGCTGGTCGATGCTCTTGCACAGGAGAGGCTCTTCAACCTCAGCGGCACGGCTCGCAACATGAGGATGGTGGACCAGGCCGATCGTGTGCTTTGGGCTGCGAGGTGCCAGGTGATTGCGGAAGGGCTGTGGCGCGGGGCCGAGAAGCAGCACATCCTGGAAGAGGCGAGAGCCAAGTCCAAGCGCTTCGACCAGGAGCTGGTCAACGAGAGGAGGAAAGAGTGGGCAGCCAAGTTGGAGTCGGCGGCAAAGGGTGCGGCAGGTGGCCTTCACAGGCTTTGCAAGCCAGCTGAGGTCTGGCGACCACGGCGGGCGGCATCCGCCGCTCATTCCGCCGACCCTTTGCAGGCTGCTCAGTACGCGCTAGACGAGTGGAACAAAGTGTGGCGAGCGGGAGAAGAAGTGCAGAAAGCTCCCAGGCCCTGGGAGTTGGCGGCACGTATGGAGCTGAACGATTTCAACGACGGGGCCTTCGAACGGCTAAAGAAGGTCGCTCGCAGTTTCAAGAAGAAGACGGCGATAGGATCAGACAGGTGGCGCCCGTCTATGTTGCAGGGCGCCTCGGACGACGCGCACTGGACATTGCTCGCCATCCTGCGGGAGGTAGAGAAGACCCTTGTCTGGCCGTCGCACGCGGCCACGATGTTTTTTTTCCTCATCCCCAAGAATGAGCTGGTCGACCGTGCCATCGGCCTCCTGCCCACCCTGGTGAGGGTCTGGGAGATCATGAGGGAGCCGTACTTGCAGGCGTAGGCGAGGGAGAATCACAGGTCGTGGGACTGCGCATCCTACGGGCGCGCGGCTGAGGACGCGGCGTGGGAGGTTCTTTTGGCTCACGAAGCGGACGCCCCTGGGGGCGCTGATCCTGCAGTCACTGCCACGATCACGGCGATCCTGGACCTGGCGAAGGCCTTCGAGAGGGTGAGTTTGCACGTCCTGTGTGGGCGGGGCAAGCGCATGGGCTTTCACACAGGGGTTCTGGCGGTGGTATGCTCCTGTTTTGCCGCGGCGCGACGTGGACGTGTCAGCGCGGGGGGCGCGGTGTCGCTCGAGACGCGCACGGTGTGCACCATCATTGCAGGCAGCAAGTTCTCGGTGGGTTTCCTTAAAATGGTGATTCATGATACGGTCGACGGTTTGGTGGTTGAGCATCCGCTGGCAACGTGGCGCATGTACGTCGATGACCTCAGCATCAGGCAGAGGGGTGCGCAGCAGTGGGTAGCCGATGTTTTCCCGCTGGCGATCGACGACAGCATTGCGGGTTTTGCTGAGCTGGGCTTGGAGTTCTCCGTGGGTGCAAAGGGCAAGGGCACGGTCATGGCTAGTACCAAGTGGCTCAGGGACGCCGTGCAGGGCGATATGAGCCAGAGGGGGTTGCCAGTTGTCCGAGCCTGCCCATGCCTGGGGGTCGACTTGGTTTCCAGCGGCACGGCGCTCAAGGCAAAGAGCGGCAAGCGTTTCGCCAAGATGCGGAGGCGGACGGCCAGGTTACTTCAGCTACGGCGAGGAGGTAAAGGAATGGCAAGAGGCATGGGATTGGTGTATAAGTGCGGGCTGAAGCGGTCGGTGTTGCATGGGTGCAAGTGCTTGGGCATGCCAAATCACCAGCTTCAGCAAGTTTGTCGCGCCGCAGGCAAGCTTCTCCCAGGGCCCAGGGGGGCGAAGAGCCTCACTTTGCAGCTGGCCCTCGCGAAGGAGGAGCCCGCGTGCGAGATCACGGCCGCTCCTGTGGTTCGCTGGGCACGCGCTGTGCGGGAGCTCACGGTGGGAGAAGAAGCGGCGAGAGCAGCGAAGTGGGAGGCCCAACAGGGGCACCATGAAAGACCTGATCGGCAACACACAGGGCCAGAGGCTGGTGTGCAGACCCTCACTCACCCCCACACCAATGGCACCTTGCTCGCAGGGAGAGGTGCTGTAGGTGATGTCGCTGCTCTGGATGAAGCACTAGGTGTCTGGGCGGCGCTGTGGATCACCGACCTTCGCGGGGTGGACTACCCAGACGTCGACGACTGGCTTGAGTGGGCGACCGTGCTTGTGGGGGTGAGGTGCGAGGGGGCCTCGCAGGCAGATATCGCAGCCACTTGCAGACGATCGTGGGCTCGGGCACGATGGAGGCGAGCGGCGGCGATCAGGTACATCAATGACTTGGATTACGTGGGCCGAGTGGAGGTGCTGAAGCAATGCAGATACGAGCGTGGCGCGGTGCAGCAGGTACTCCGACGTCTGCTCGGGGACAGGCTGCGACGGGCGCCTGACGAGTGCCACAACATCGGCAGCCTCGGCGGGTTGCTGGATCTTTTCGCGCAGGCGGGACGGCAATTGGCCATCTCGGAGGAGCGTGTCAGCGGACGGCGGCGGGACCTCGGCGAGCGTGAAAACTTGCAGGAGCAACTCCAGAGGGCGTGGAAGCAGCGGCAAATCGCAGTGGGCATGCAGCCGCAGTGGGGGCGTGTCAAAATCCCCGCAGGTGTTGTCATCATGTCCATGCGCAGAGCTGGGTGGACGCGGCCGAAGTGGCACAGTTTCCTGATGCGCAATGGGGAACAGCTCAACCTATTGGAGACCTGCCCCAACGACGTCGGGATGTTATTGCAGCAGGACCTGGATGCACAGCTGCGGGCGCAGTGGACAGCAGAGCCAGGGCACGAGAGCTTGGCGCCAGCACCTTTCTTGCAGCCCGCTAGGGCGGTGTTGGGGGCCAGGAACTTCCCGAAGCATGCGAAGAGCGCAGCGAGGAAGGTGCTCATAGGCGACTCCTGGACCATGAGTAAGCTCTTTAAGCACAACATCACGCCGACGGACATTTGCTTGGCGCGTGGCGAGGACGTGGGCACGCCGCATCACATGTATTTCGTCTGCCCGAAGCTGCGCGACGTGCGGAGCAATGGGCAGGCGGACTGGCAGCGCGTGGCGGAGCAGCAGGTCGACAGCTTGTTGTGGGCGAGGGGGCTGGTGAGAGATCCGTCGGTGGACTGGCAGTTTCGCACCGTTACGGAGGAGCAGTACCACTTCGTGGTGAACGAGGGCTCCGAGGCTCACCTCACGGGCGACATCGTTTGCGACGGGCCGGAGATGGGCGGCAGCAAGTGGGCGCAGGCTGGGTGGGCAGCTATGGCGATCAACGGCGAAGGTGCGCCAACTATCCAGCTCTGGCGCCCGCTGCCGTGCCAGTACAGTGTGCAGAAGACGGTGAAGCGTGCGGAGATGTGGGCCTTCCTCAAGGTTTTGGAGGTGGTGATGCCACCATGCAGGATCTACACCGACCACCGGGGGATCGTCGACGGTCTGGCTCGAGGTGCTCGGTGGCGCCTCTCCTGGAAGCGGCCGCACGCGGACTTGTGGCGGAGGATATGGTACAAGGTGGTCGACGTCGGTTTGGACCGCAGCTGCGTGGGGCGCGTCAAGACGCATCGAAGGCCACGATCAACAGGCTCGAGGTGGGCCAGCAGGCCATCGCTAGGGGTAACGCTGCCGTTGACCTCTTGGCGAAGTGCGGTGCCGAGGACGACTACGGTTACGGCAGGCAGGAGGTGCTCGATAGGCTCGGGGAGAAGGTCAAGTGGGCCATCCAGAACGTCGGGTGGTGGCACCAGCAGCTGAACGGAGAGTGGCCTGACGCCCCCCCACGGCCGCCTGGGCCTAGGCGCAGGCGGCAGCAGCAGCCTCACATCCAGCTGACGAAGCACGAGGTGGAGCAGCGTGGGCGGTGGCAAGTGCACGCGGCGTGGGAGGCGCGCGGCCGCGGCACGCATGAGGAAGAAGTTGTGGGAGGCGGAATGCCGCCCACCTCCGTGGCGCATGGCAGGCGTGGTGAGCAGGACAGCTGGCGCGGGCTCGCTCGAGGCCTGCGTCGCAGCTGCACGAGGAGTGCAGCAGCGGGCGGCTACGTCGACGGCTGCGGGGGTCACGGGAGTTGGGCCAGTGGCGGCTGCCGTCGCCGTGGGGGCTGCCGTGGCGGGTCTGGCCGCAGGGGGGCGAGGTGCAGCTGATGTAGCAGGGCCTGGTGGGGCCTCCCAGCTGGCAGCTGGTGGGGCTCACGAGGCCCTCTTGGGCCGGAGCCAGGTAAGTGGTGCATCAGTGGTGAGGTCGCGGTCCCCGAGGAGGCAGCCGAGGCTTGAAGAGGCGCCACCTGACGTGCCCGACGCGCGGAGGCAACATGCGGTGCAGATATGCGGGCCCTATGTCGTCTGTCGAGAATGCGGGGCATATGCGGCGCAGCGGAGGGACGGGATGAACAAAGAGTGCCCTGGTCCGCTGCCAAGGCGAGGGGTGTGTTCGGGCGCCGACACCAAGCGGAAGCGGCGCGACAGGCTGCTGAGGGGTGAACATCCGCAAACGGGACGACCACTTCCAGCTGCACTGGAACCAGTACAGCGAGGGCGGGGTGGGGGACTACGGCGTGGCGGTGGAATGCGACTTTGAGGGGGGCCACGTCTGGGAGCACTGGTGCCAGTGCGGCGTGGGCTCAGTCGAGGTGCTTCGCACTGCTGCTGCTGCTCCCCATGGCAGGACAACTGTACTGGGGGGAGGGGTGTTTTTAAGAAGCCTCTTGGGGGCCTCTTGGGCGCCTATTGGGGCCCCCTGGACGCCTGTTGGGACCCTCTTGAAGCGCTCTTGGGAGCCTTGGGAGCGCTCTTGAAACCCTCTTGGGCCATCGAGCCATACGCAAGATGTGGAGATCAATGCCTAGTTTACATTTGCCTTTCGGTCATGGGCAGCTTGTCGCCGAAGATGCCAACTGCCTGCTTGGGAGCGGGACGAGGCGCACATCGCGCGCGAAAGGACGCGATGCATCCTGTTCCGCCCTCGCGCCGCGCATCTTTTTCCCAACCCTCCTGTGTTGGGTTCTCGTTTTGAACAGAGCAGTGTGGTCTCCACCTCCTCCTCCTCCTCCTCCTCCTCCTCCTCCTCCTCCTGTCCTCCCCTCTCATCCCCTCCTCCCTCTCTCCTGTTTCCTGTGTTCCCCTCTCCTCTTCTCTCGTGCCGTCGGGCTGCGATCTGCGCAACTGTCGCCATTTTCGTGGTCTCCTGGGAGGCCCAGCGGAGGTACGTCCCACGCGGACAACCACTATAGCTCGCGGTGCCCTGGTGGGCTGAGATCTGCGCAACTGTCGCCACTTTCGTGGGCTTCTGGGAGGCCCAGCGGAGGTACGTCCCACGCGGACCACCAGTATAGCTCGCGGTGCCTTGGGGGGCTGCGATCAGCGGAACTGTCGGCACTTTCGTGGGCTCCTGGGAGGCCGGCTGCTGTCCGGGCTTGCGTTTCTGATAACTCAACAATTTGAAAAGGGCGAATTCTGGGAAACGCAATCCTGGACGACTGCCCCCGGCCCCCGGCACACATTGCACGGGAAATCGATTTCCGGGAATTCGACTTCCGAATTATGGGAAACGTAATTTTCATCAAAAAACAACACTCAATGAGCCACAATCGAGGTTCTCATAATTTCTAATTATGGGAAACGCAATTGTGGTTCACTGGGTGCTGTTTTTTTGAGAAAACGTGCTTCCTATAATTCGGAATTCCGAAAATTCGAATTCTGAATAATGGGAAACGCAGTTTTCTTCAAAAAACCGCACTCAATGAGCCACAATCGCTTTCCCATAATTCTTAATATTGGGAATTAACAATTGCGGCTCGTTAGGTGCCGTTTTTGAAGAAAATTGCGTTCCCCATAATTCGGAATTCCGAGAAATCGAATTCTGAATTATGGAAAGTGCAATTTTCCTCCGTCAGAAACAGCGCTCAATAAGCCACAATCGCGTTTCCCATAATTCGGAATTTGGGGAAACGCAATTGTGGCTCATTGGGTGTTGTTTTTTGAAGAAAATTGCGTTTCCCATAAATCGGAATTCCGAGAATTCGAATTCTGAATTGTGTGAAACACGATTTTTGAAACATAAAAAAGAAAAAAAAAAAAAAAACGCACTCAATGAGCCACAGTCGCGTTTCCCATAAGTGGGAAACGCGGTTGTGGCTCATTGAGTGTTGTTTGTTAAAGGAAATTACGTTTCCCATTTTTCGGAAATCCAAAAATTCGAATTCTGATTTATGGGAAACGCAAGTTTCTTCAAAAAAAACACTCAGTGAGCCACAATCGCGTTTCCCATAATTTTGAGTCCGTAAGGGCTTCGCCCCATGCCGCCGGCCCCTTGTCTTGGAGAATGGGGAATGCAAAAGCTAAATCATGAGGTTTGGGCGCCGCTCTGAAGCAGTGTCGGGACCTGTTTGTTTTTCGACCCTGACCCTATGGATCTGCGTCACGGGTGCCACCGAATTTCAGAAATGTGGCAAATCCCATGTTTTTTTGGACCCTGACCCCGCCGATCTGCGTGAGGGGTGCCGCCGAATTTTTGTAGCAAATCCCATGTGTTTTTGGACCCTGACCCTGCCCATCAGCGTGAAAGGTGCAACCGAATTTCAGACATGTAGCAAATCCCATGTGTTTTTGCACCCTGACCCCGCCGATCTGCGTGAGGCGCGCCACCGAATGCCAGAAATGTGGCAAATCCTTAGTGTTTCCCATTGTTTGTTAATCATGGGAAAGGCAATTGTGGCTGATTGAGTGCTGTTTGTTTATTGAAATTGCGTTTCCCATAATTCGGAACTCCGAGAATTCGAATTCTGAGCAATGGGATACGCAATTTTCTTCTCATAACAGTATTCAATGAGCCACAATCGCTTTCCCATAATGTTTAATTATGGGAAACATTATGGGAAACGCAATTGTGGCTCATGGGGTGCCGTTTTTTGAAGAAAATTGCGTTTCCCATAATTCCGAGAATTCAAATTCTGAATCATGAGAAACGTTTTTTCTTCAAGAAACAGCACTCAATGAGCCACAATCGCATTTGCCATAATGAACCAGTATGCGCAACGCAACTGTGGCTCATTGGGTGTTGTTATTTTAAGGAAAATCGCGTTTCCCATAATTCGGAATTCCGAGAATGCGAATTCTGAATGAGGGGAAACGCAATTTTCTTGAAACAACAACACTCCATGAGCCACAATCGCGTTTCCACTTTTTAATATGAGAAGCGCAAGTGTGGCGCATTGGGTGCCGTTTTAAAGGAACATTGCGTTTCCCATAATTCGGGACTCCGAGAAGTCGAATTCTGAATTATGGGAAACGCACATTTCTTCAAACAACCACACTTAATCAGCCACACTCGCGTTTCCCATAGTTCCTAATTTTGGGAAGCGCAATTGTGGCTCATTGAATGCGGTTGTTTAGGGAAAATTGCGCCCCCCACAGTTCAGAATCCGATCGCGTTTCGCATAATTTATAAGTATGGGGAACGCAATTGTGCCTCATTGGGTGCCGTCGTTTGAAGAAAACTGTGTTTTCCATAATTCGGAATTCCGAGAATTCGAATTCTGGCTTATGGGAAACGAAATTTCGCGCTTCCCATAATTGATAATTATGGGACACGCCACTGTGGCTCATTGGGTGTTTTTTATATGTTAAAAAATGCGTTCCCCATGAAACGCAAGTGTGGCTCATTGGGTGCAGTTTGTTGAGGAACATTGCGTTTCCCATAATTCGGAATTCCGAGAATTCGAATTCTGAGTTATGGGAAACACTTTTTTTTCAAACAGCAACATTCAATGAGCCGCAATCGCGTTTTTCAAATTTTGTATTATGGGATGCGCAAGTGTGGCTCATTGGGTGTTGTTCTTTTGAAGAAAATTGTGTTTCCCATAATGCGGAATTCCGAGAATTCGAATCCTGAATTATGGGAAACACAATTTTCTTCAAAGAACAGCACCCAGTGAGCCACAATCGCGTTTCCCATAATTTTGAGTCCGTAAGGGCTTCGCCCCATGCCGCTGGCCCCCTGTCTCGGATAATGTGGGATGCAAAAGCTAAATCATGAGGTTTGGGCGACGCTCTGAAGCAGTGTCGGGACCTGTTTGTTTTTCGACCCTGACCCTACGGATCTGCGTCACGGGTGCCATCGAATTTCAGAAAGGTGGCAAATCCTTTATGTTTTTCGGCCCTGACCCTACGGATCTGCGTCACGGGTGCCACCGAATCTCAGAAATGTGGCAAATCCCATGTGTTTTTTGGACCCTGACCCCGCCGATCTGCGTGAGGGGTGCCGCCGAATTTTAGAAATGTAGCAAATCCCTTGTGTTTTTGGACCCTGACCTTGCCGATCTGCGTGAGGGGTGTCACCCGTTTCCCATACGTACTTCGGAATTCCGAGAATTCAAATTCTGAATTATGGGAAACGTAATTTTGGTGAAAAAACAACGCTCAATGAGCCACAATCGCGTTTCCCATAATTATTAATTATGGGAAACGGAATCCCGGACGACTGCCGGGAGGCCCAGCGGAGGTGGGTCCCACGCGGACCACCACTGTAGCTCGCGGTGCCCCGGGGGGTTGCGACCTGCGAAACCGTCGGCAATTTCGTGGGCTCCTGGGAGGCCCAGCGGAGGTAAGTCCCACGCGGAAAACTATAGCTCGCGGTGCCCTGGGGGGCTGCGACCTGCGAAACTGTCGGCACTTTCGTGGGCTCCTGGGAGGCCCAGCGGAGGTACGTCCCACGCGGGCCACCCACCACTACAGCTCGCGGTGCCTTGGGGTGCTGCGATCTGCGAAACTGTTAGCACTTTCGTGGGCTCCTGGGAGGCCCAGCGGAGGTACGTCCCACGCGGACCACCACTATAGCTCGCGGTGCCCTGGGAGGCCTCGCCGCCCCCATGGGGGGCTTGCG